GGAGGGTTGGGCTAGGAGGGTTGGGCTAGGAGGGTTGGGCCTGGAGGGTTGGGCTAGGAGGGTTGGGCTAGGAGGGTTGGGCTAGGAGGGTTGGGCTAGGAGGGTTGGGCTAGGAGGGTTGGGCTAGGAGGGTTGGGCTAGGAGGGTTGGGCTAGGAGGGTTGGGCTAGGAGGGTTGGGCTAGGAGGGTTGGGCTAGGAGGGTTGGGCTAGGAGGGTTGGGCTAGGAGGGTTGGGCTAGGAGGGTTGGGTGCAAAGCGCATCTCCGCTGTCGGAGCAAAGCAGAAAAGAATGTAGCGAAACTCCCCCGCACGACACTAGACCTGAGCGACGATATGACTGGGCGGCAAATGATCGGAGTGGGCGTAAGAAGAGTCGTTCTTGCGCGAGGAGAGCTCGATAAACTCGAGGGGCCAAAATATGCCGCGAGGAGAGCAGAGCTGCGACGAAAGGAGAGAGAAGCCGCGAGAGCAAGGGAGCGGCAGGCGGCGGCGGCGTCGCAGGACGAGGCAGACGAGAACGACGCGACAGAGGAGGAAGCGACAGGAGGGAGAACGACGAGAGTGGGACGACCGCGAGGTGGCATGAAGGTTGCAGCGTGGCGGTCAGAGGCAAAGCCTGCGAGGGGTGGTGGAACCACATGTCACGGCTACTGCCGGCTCGACGCGACGATAGCCTCCGGAGGCTGACTTTGCGGCACCATCATCGGACGATCTCGACGAGTTGGGTCGCTCTCGCGGTAGCCAGATGACCTCTCATACTAGCATCATCGGCCATGGCCGCAGGGAGCGCGGGGGAGGAGGAGGCTGCGCTGCACAAGCACGGGCGGGAGGGGCTTCTCCTGCGGAGTCGTGCGTGCGCAGGGCTCCTCTTTGCTTTCTTCTACTCCCTACTATCATCTCGTTCCCGTCCTACCAGAGAAGGCGCTGGGAGCAACACGGAGCTCCGTGTTGGACGTTTTCAAGAGATTAGCGTGTCACACAGAGTGAATTGGAACTAGCCCAAGTGCCTCGGAGGAGCATATACTACAACTAGATACTTGAGTACTTTATCAATGCATAAAAACGATCGACGCGGTCCACCGCGAGTAAGAAACCACAGATACACACAACTCACGCAAGAACGCTGCGGACTCAGACCGGGCGCGCGTCCCTGGCCAACGAAAATCATCACTCACCCCGCGCGGTGGCATTGTGAAGAATCTCGCCGCCCTCATTGTACGGCCGGTGCGGGCAAGTGAGCCAGCTGAGCAGCACGAATGCGGCGGCGGCGACCGCCGCGGCGAGCGGGATCGTGACGACCCAGCCAACGACGATCTTGCTCAGCACGGTCAGGTCGAGGCCGGTGTTAGGCACGCCGCAGAGTTTCTCGGCGAGGCTGACGCCGACCACGGCGCCGACAAGGCAGTGCGAGGTGGAGACGGGCAGCCCGCACGCGGAGGAGGAGAGGACGGCGACTGCGGCGCCCGTCTGGGTGGCGAAGGAGCGGTGCGGAGTGAGGGTCGTGATCTTCGACCCCACGGTCGAGATTGTGCGCTCTCCGAGCGTCAGGATGCCGACGACGAAAGCGCCGGCGCCGCACAGCATAGCGGTGGGCGGCACCGCGGGCGCGAGCGCCACCGGGCCCTCCGCCGGCGTCGCGAGGATGGCGGCGAGAGGCCCGACAGCGTTGCCTACTCTCGGGTCATCTCGGTCAATCTCGGGTGATCTCGGGTGATCTCGGCGAGAAGTGCGACGGCGACGCCGACGTCGTTCGCCCCGTGCGCGAGAGCGACAGTGAGGCCTGCCAACACAAGGAGCAATCTCGGGTGCTCTCGGGTGCTCTCAGGTACTCTC